TCTTCCTCCTCCTTCCCCTTTTCCCTTCTTCTCCTCCTCCTCTTTCTCCTCCTCCTCCTCCTCCGCCTCTTCTTCCTCCTCCTCCTTCTTCCCCCTTTCCCCTTCTCCTCCTTCTCCTCATCTTCCTCCTCCTCTTCTTCCTCTTCCTCCTCCTCCTTCTCCTCCTTCTCCTCGTCTTTTCCTCCTCCTCTTCTTCCTCTTCCTCCTCCTCCTCCTTCTCCTCCTCCTCCTCCTCCCTCCTCCTCCTTCCCCTTTTCCCTCCTCCTCCTCTTTCTCCTTCTCCTTCTCCTCCTCCTCCGCCTCTTCTTCCTCCTCCTCCTCCTTCTCCTCCTTGTCTTCCTCCTCCTCTTCTTCCTCTTCCTCCTTCCCCTTTTCTTCTCCTCCTTCTCCCTCCTTCTCTCCCCCCCTCCTCCTCCTCCTCCTCCTCCTCCTCCTCTTCCTCCTCCTCCTCCTCCTCCATTTCTTCCATTCTTTCCATTTCCATAACCGCCTTGCTTTCCAATGAAAATTCCCCACTGAAGTCATAAATCCAAGGACTACCTGCATTCCGTCTATATCATTACCGGTCATTGGAGACGCAGTAAATGAGCGGTCGCTAAACGGTATTGTCATAAGTCGAGGCCCGCCTGCATGATTTCTGTAACGGGTGGCGGCTCAGCGGCTAAGACCCCGAGCTTGCCGATCGGAAAGGTCGGCCGTTCGGCGGTTCGAATCCCTAGTACAGGATGGGTCCAATCCCTAGTAGTCCTGGGTGAGCAGTGGGGTTGGGCTAGATGACCTCCCAGGTCCCTTCCGACTCTGTTTTACTGGGTTGCTGAATTGCGGTGGTTGCTTGCCAGAGAAAGGAAGAGGGCTTAAGTGGGACCTGTTGGGAAGAGAGCCGTGAGTGACTCATATCAAAAGCGATGGGGAAAAAAAACAATAGAAGCCCAGAATGTTTTTGATCTTTGCAAAGCTGCAGGCCTTTGGCAAGGATTATAACTCTTCATATTTGGGTATCTTCGGTTCTGCATTCCTTTGCAACGACATGAAAGAGAGAGAGAGAGGGAGGGAGGGAGGGGAGGGGAGGGGAGGGGAGGGGAAGGGGAGTAAGCGAGATCTTTGGCTACTGTGTAGATGGAGGCTCAGCCGCTCCAGCCATGGAAAAGGAATGTTGGCTTGTGTTTTAACCCACGTTTCCAGATTCATTGTGGATAGATACCTCGGTTGAGCTGACCTCTTCAACTCCGGGTTTGGAAGTTTTGTTCTGAAATCGTGCTCTCAGGGAGATCTCGGCAGAGACAATGAAACGGCGGGTCTCTCATTCGACGTCCTTCTCGATCCTCTCGTGATACTTTTTTCACACGTGCCAATTTTTAATCATGTCGTTGTGACAGTGAGGTTAATAGAAAGACACTGCTTCCTCCCTTCCCCTCCCTTTTTCCTTCCTTCCTTCCTTCCTTTCTTCCTTCCTTCCTTCCTTCCTTCCTTCCTTCCTTCCTCCCTCCCTCTTTCCCTCCCTCCCTTTTTCCTTCCTTCCTTCCTTCCTCCCTCCCTCCCTCCCTCCCTCCCTTTTTCCTTCCTTCCTTCCTTCCTTCCTTCCTTCCTTCCTTCCTTCCTTCCTTCCTTCCTTCTTTCTCTTCTCTTTTCATTCCTTCCTTCCTCCATCTCTCTCTCCTCCCTCCCTCCCCTTTTCCTTCCTTCCTTCCTTCCCTTCTCTTTTCGTCCCTCCCTCCCTCCCTTCTTTCCTCCCTCCCTCCTTTTCCTTCCTTCCCTTCTCTTTTCCTCTCCCCTCCTCCCTCCCTTTTTCCTCCCTCCCTCCCTCCCTGCCTTCCTTTCTCATTTCCTTCCTTCCTTCCTTCCTCTGTCTCTCTCTCTCCTCCCTCCCTCCCTCCCTTTTTCTTTCCCTTTTCCTTCCTTCCTTCGTCCCTCCCTACTTCCTTCCTCCCTTCCCTTCCCTTCTTTTCCCTCTTCCTTCCTTCCTTCCCTCCCTCCCTCCTTCCTTCCTTCTTTCCTTCCTCTGTCCTTCCTTCCTTCCTCCCTCCCTCTGTCCTTCCTTCTTCCCTCCCTCCCTCCCTCCCTTCCCCTTTTCTTTCCCTTCATCTCCCCAGAGGCAGATCATGCAACTAAATTGGCAAGCAGAGACCAGAATGACAGGGAAGTTTATCATCAACGTACTTTTCTCATCATCATAAAATGCCGGGTGGAAAACTGAGGTTTAAACCTTCATCACTCTAGAGAAGTTCTCCTCTTTAGCCCGCTGGCCTTTTTGTAGAGGTGAACCTTTCCCCTGTTTGATGGCAAGGAGACTCCAAAATGGGCATTTCCATCTGGGGAAGCAACCAAGTTCCTAAATTCAATGGCAGAAGGATAGCCGCATGTCCTCCTTCTGGTGGCCTTCGTTGCTTTCCCTTTTGCTTCTGGAGAAAGGATCAGCGTGGCTTCTGCAAAGTCGGCTTCTCTAGATCAGGGGTCTCCAAACCTTGGCAACTTTAAGCCTGGGAGGACTTCAACTCCCAGAATTCTCCAACCAGCAAAGCTTCCCTTCCCAAAGCTGCCTGGAGAATTCTGGGAGTTGAAGTCCTCCAGGCTTAAAGTTGCCAAGGTTTGGAGACCCCTAATCTAGATGGACCTCCTGACACAGCCGAGACTACAGCTGCCATAACCCCCAGCTTGTCTGGCAAGGGGAAGGATGGGAGTTGTAGTCCAGCCCATCTGGGGAGGGTCAGGAATTTAAGGAAATTTGCTCACAGAGAAGGTGAGGAAATTTTTAAGGACGAGAAAGCAAGTCAGGATCGCAGCCTTGAAGGCAATCAACCAAGAAGGATCCTTCTCTTTACTCCCTGAAAGAATTCTCCGCTCTCTTTGATTTTTTTTTTTTTGGATATTTTTTTGCTAAGTTGTGTTTTCTTTGGCAACAGTCCCGTAGTTGTTTTCCCTTGTTATCTTCTGCGATATTTGTTTTTTCTTTTTTTCTCCCTTAAATGTCCTCATTCCGCCTACAGCTCTGGACTTTCCAGGGTGGTCCTTCCGATAGAGGGTTTTTTTTTAATTTTTAATTTTATTTTGAAACCAGACTTTTAAGTCAAGGCCACCTTCAAATAAAAGGGGCTTCCTTCCTCCCTCCCTCCCTTCCTTTCCTTCCAGCCGGCTGAAAAGGATTCTAAGTCAAGAGTGCAAGAAAGGAAGGAACGTTTAAGGGGAAGAGAAGAGACCTGTGAGGGTGTGTGAAATCTTAAATTTTATGTGGACTTCCTATAGGAATGTAGGCAGTCCTTGACTTATGACTACAGTTGAGCCCCAAATTTCTGCTGTTAAGTGAGACACTGGTCAAGTGGCCCATTTTACCACCTTTCTAGCCACTGTTTTTTTTTTTTTAATTTGATTTATATGCCGCCCTTCTCCGGAGACTCAGGGCGGCTTACAATGCGCTAAGCAATAGCCTTCATACTTTTGTATATTTATACAAAGTCAGCTTATTGCCCCCACAAACTGGGTCCTCATTTTACCCACCTTAGAAAGGATGGAAGGCTGAGTCAACCTTGAGCCTGGCGAGATTCGAACCTGCAGCAATTGCAGGCAGCTGGTCTTAATAACAGGGTGCTTTAGACCACTGTACTACCAAGGCTCTTTATTGTTGTTAAGTGAGCCACTGTATTGTTAAGTTAGTAACACAGTTGTTTAAGTGGAAGCTTTCAAGAAGAGATTGGACTGCCCTCTGTCAGAAATGGTGTAGGGCAGTGTTGACTAACCTTTTTGCCATCGTGTGCCAAAAGCAGGGGGGGGGAGGGCGGGGGGATCATGTGCGAGTGTGCCCATACCCATAATTCAAAGTGTCCCCTGATGCTCCCCCCACTTTTGGCATGCGATGGCACAGTGGGCCCAGTAGACCCGTTTTTGCCCTCCTCTGATTCCAAAAAAGCCTCTGGAGCCTGGGGAGGGTGAAAACAGCCTTCCCCATCCCCCCCCGGAGGCCCTCCGGAGGCCGGAAACAGCCGGTTTGCCAACTTCCAGTGGGACCGGAAGTCCCGTTTCTTGCCCCCCCACAACTTCTGAAGGCAACTTCTGTTCCATGGGTTGATTGTTCCGTCAGAAAATTTCTCCTTATTTTGAGGTTGAATCTCTCCTTGATCAGTTTCCATCCATTATTCCATGTCTGGCCTTCGGGGGCTTTCGAAAACAGGTTGACCCCCCTCCTGTCTGTGGCAGCCCCTCAAGTATTGGAAGACTGCTATCCTGTCTCCCCTGGTCCTTCTCTTCACTAGACTAGCCAGGCCCAGTTCCCGCAACCGTTCATTGTAGGTTCTAGTCTCCAGACCTTAGATAGCTTCAGATGAATAGAGTTAGAAGGGACCTGGTAGGTCATCTAGTCCAACCCCCCGCCCAAGCAGGAGACCCTACACCATTTCTGACAGATGGCAGTCCAGTCTCTTCTTGAAAGCCTCCAGTGATGAAGCTCCCACAACTTCCAAAGGCAACTTCTGTTCCATGGGTTGATGGTTCTCACTGTCAAGAAATTTCTCCTTATATCGAGGTTGAATCTCTCCTTGATTAGTTTCCATCCATTATTCTTTGTCTGGCCTTCGGGTGCTTTGGAAAACAGGTTGACCCCTTCCTCTCTGTGGCAGCCCCTCAAGTATTGGAAGACTGCTATCATTGTCTCCCCTGGTCCTTCTCTTCACTAGACCAGCCATGCCCAGCTCCTGCAACCGTTCATCGTATGTTTTAGCTAGGTCAGAACATAACCTTGCTTACTGGACTACTCGCAGTCTGAGGCTGCTGAAGGTGCTTGTGAGAGCTTTGCTCCAGGGAGCGTTTGCGGGCACAGTTGGAGCAATAAAGGGGAGTTAGATATGTTCTCTAGTTGTGTTGCTTTCGTGCCACGCCCTGGGTCATCACACTCCGTAGCCTCTTCTATGTTTTGTACGCTTGCGATGTCCGTTTCGGAGAGGATCTGTCCCTTTCTCTCCATCCTTGCTTCTCTCAAGGGCTAACGACCTTTCCCCCTTTCTTTAATGAAGGTGTACGTGAACGGAGAACTGGTCACCAGCATTGGAGAAGGAGGCAGCTTTGGAGAACTGGCCCTCATTTACGGCACGCCGCGAGCTGCGACCGTCAAAGCGAAGACGGATCTCAAACTCTGGGGAATCGATCGCGATAGCTACAGACGCATCTTGATGGTGGGTTTAAAAACAAACAAACAAACAAACAAACAAACAAACAAACAAACAAACAAACATGGAAGCGTACCCCTTCCAAGGCTTCCCCTCCACTCCCCTTGAAACAGTTTGTTAATATGGGGCAAAGGTTCTTGAAATGTAGGCCTTGGGGCAGGGGTGAAATTCAGTAGGTTCTGGAGAACTGGTAGCAGAAATTTTGAGTAGTTCGGAGAACCGGCAAATGCCATCTCTGGCTGGCCCCAGAGTGGGGTGGGAATGGGGATTTTGCAATATCCTTCTCCCTGGAGTAGGGAGGGAATGGAGATTTTGTAGTATCCTTCCCCTGGATGTGGGGTGGGAATGGGGATTTTGCAGTATCCTTCTCCCTGGAGTGGGGTGGGAATGGAGATTTTATAGTATCCTTCTCCCTGGAGTGGGGTGGGAATGGAGATTTTGCAGTATTGTATTGTATGTTTTTATCTGGCTGTACACTGCCCTGAGTCCCTCGGGAGAAGGTGCTGTATATAAATTCGAAATAAAATAAAATAAAATAAAAAATAAATAAAAGTATCCTTCCCCTGCCATGCCCACCAAGCCACACCCACCAAGCCACACCACGCCCACCAAGCCGGTAGTAAAAAAATTTGGATTTCACCACTGCCTTAGGGGTGTATATAGGGCCAGCTGTCACCGCCGATTTGTACCGTGTAGGATTTATGAAAGAGAAAACTCTCCGAAATTAGACAAAACTCTATTTATGGGCATGAAAGGCCTTGGATTCTCCCTTTTTTTTTCCGGAGAAATTAAATGAGGTTCATTTCGGGGTCACGGGAGAGCTGCAGTCAGATCTGAAGGCGAAGTTCTGTTGACCGAAGAAGGGCTTGTAAGCAATGGAACTTCTTCATGTTTACTACTCCTTCCACTCCAGAGGTTTCAAAGCAGCTTCGCTCAGCTGGCCACATCGGGTGGGTTGGATGAGGAATGTGGAGTCGTAATATACCAACGTGGGACGCGGTGGCTTAGGGGCTAAGACGCTGAGCTTGTCGATCGAAAGGTCGGCAGTTCAGCGGTTCGAATCCCGAGAGCCGCGTAACGGGGTGAGCTCCCGTGTCTTGTCCCAGCTTCTGCCAACCTAGCAGTTCGAAAGCACACAAAAAATGCAAGTAGAAAAATAGGGACCACCTTTGGTGGGAAGGGAAGAGCGTTCCGTGCGCCTTTGGCGTTGAGTCATGCCGGCCACGTGACCACAGAGACGCCTTCGGACAGCGCTGGCTCTTCGGCTTTGAAACGGAGATGAGCACCGCCCCCTAGAGTCGGGAACGACTAGCACAGATGTGCGAGGAGAACCTTTACCTTTTAATATACCAACACATCTGGAGACCCCAAGCAACAGAAGGGAGAATTTGGTCGCTGGCTTTAAGTAGCCGTCCTCTTTGTCACGAGGAAGGTATATAGAACCAAGGTACCTGTCTCTCACTTAACATATTCTCACATCTGGTATGAGGATGCCAAAAATGCAAAATTGGTGGATCTGGTGCAGGGGTGAAATTCAGTAACTTCTAACAGGTTCTGGAGAACCGGTAGCGGACATTTTGAGTAGTTCGGAGAACCGGCAAATACCACCTCTGGCTGGCCCCAGAGTGGGGTGGGAATGGAGATTTTGCAATATCCTTCCCCTGGAGTGGGGTGGGAATGGAGATTTTGCAATATCCTTCCCCTGCCACGCCCACCAAGCCACACCCACAGAACCGGTAGGAAAAATTTTGGAACTTCACCCCTGATCTGGTGTGTTTTGGATAGTTGATGACGATGATGAAAATCAAATTTTCTTTAAAACTTGGCATTCTAATAGCAAATCCTTCATAAAAGTTATTGCATTACATTCTTGATTAAATTATCTTTCCATTGATATATAATTTTATGGTACTACTCCCCCCCCCCAAAAGTGGTGTTATTAGCTAGTTTTAGAAAATACACTTTTCTAAACCCAAAAGGCTTCCACAATTTTGGCCACTACTATAAACTTCTTCTCCCCATCTTCATCTTCAAACCCAAGTTGGCACAAAGCCATCCTATCAACAACCTCCCCTCTTCCTTTTCCCATTCTCTTCCCTTCATTTCATCCCTTCCAAAGTCTTTCTTTTCATTCCTAGGGCTTTTTCTGTCCTTCCCCACTCTGTCCTTTTTCTCCAACTTCCCTTGGAAAGAACTTTAATGCGTCCAGTTTCGTTCCAAGAACCTGTTTTCCAGCAGCTCTTCAAAGGGGGGAAGAATTGAAAAAATTCCCAGGACGTTCAGAAGCGTCCAACTTTGTCCTTTAATAGAAGAAAAATATGGAAATATTTGAAGCAATTTTTTTCCCCCTCAAACCTTCAAATACATTGTGCCTCTTGGCTGGGGAATTGGTGCATACAGGTCCTTGATTTTAAAAAAAAAGTTTTTAAAAAGTTTTTTTTTTTTAAAAAAAAGCAACTTGTGATGTTTTTCGCACTTATGACCGTTGCAGTTATCCCCATGGATACAGGATCAAAATTCAGACCAGTGTTAGGATTCAAATTTTTTTACTACCGGTTCTGTGGGCGTGGCTTAGTGGGCGTGGCGTGGCATGGCTTGGTGGGCGTGGCATGGCTTGGTGGGCGTGACATGGCTTGGTGGGCGTGGCAGGGGAAGGATACTGCAAAATCTCCATTCCCTCCCTACTCCAGAGGAAGGTTACTGCAAAATCCCCCATTCCCTCCCCACTCCAGGGGAAGGATACTGTAAAATCCCCATTCCCTCTTCACTCCAGGGGAAGGATACTGTAAAATCCCCATTCCCTCCCCACTCCAGGGGAAGGATACTGTAAAATCTCCATTCCCTCCCCACTCCAGGGGAAGGGTACTGCAAAATCCTCATTCCCTCCCCACTCCAGGGGAAGGATACTGTAAAATCTCCATTCCCTCCCCACTCCAGGGAAAGGATACTGTAAAATCCCCATTCCCTCCCCACTCCAGGGAAGGATACTGTAAAATCTCCATTCCCTCCCCACTCCAGGGGAAGATTACTGCAAAATCTCAATTTCCTCCCGATCAGCTGGGACTTGGGAGGCAGAGAATAGATGGGGGCGGGGCCAGCCAGAGGTGGTATTTACCGGTTCTCCGAACTACTCAAAATTTCCGTTACCGGTTACCACCTCTGATTCAGGCGTTTGGCAACTGACTCGCATTTATGATGGTTACAAAAGGGGGCCCCCCGTGATCCCCTTTGGCCGACCTTCTGATAAACCAGGTCAACCGAGGGAAGCCAGGTTCCTTGTTGCTAACTTAACATCTGCAGGCAGTGGTGAAATCTGAATTTTTTTACTGACGGTTCTGTGGGCGTGGCTTGGTGGGCATGGTGTGGCTTGATGGGCGTGGCAGGGGAAGGATATTGGAAAATCCCCATTCCCTCCCCACTCCTGGGGGAAGGATATTGCAAAATCTCCATTCCCACCCCACTCTGGGGCCAGCCAGAGGTGGTATTTGCCGGTTCTTTGAACTACTCAAAATTTCTGCTACCGGTTCGCCAGAACCTGTCGGAACCTGCTGGATTTCACCCCTGTCTGCTGGGCTTCCCTTAATAACGGTGGCGAGAACGATTGTAAAACGGGGCGAAACTCACAACGGTCTCGCTTAGCGGGAGAAATTTCGGGCTCAATTGTGGTCGTAACGTCGAGGACGTGCGTGTAGGTTGGAGTAAAACTGGAGGAGGCTTGTTCGAAGCATCCCCCGTGTCCACAAAGGGTTGGTGATGGCACCTTTGTTCGTTCCTTCTCACGTTGGGTGTGTGGTGTCCTTTGTGTCGAGCTGAAAAGTTAACATTTGTTGCGCAGTTCGTCTTCTGAAGAGATGAAAGGAAGGAATCCATTATCTTCTTTGGAGGTTTTTCTTTGGGAACCGAAGCCCGGCAGGCCTCCAACCTTCTTCAATTGGTCTTTGTTGCTTCGGTTTCTGAATTCAAGGTCTTTATTGGGGGTGGGGGGGACGTGGGACAGAGAACAGGTGCGGCGTCTGGGAGATAAGCGGGATGAATGGAAAGGAAACTTGGAAGGAAAGAGCCTCAGATGCCGAAAGGGTGGGAGGAGGAGGAGAGGAGATTGGTTGGCATCGCGAAAAGGGGTCGCAGGGAAGAAAAAAAAAATCACATGGGAGAGAGTGGTAGGGGGTGTGGGGGAAGCGATGGGAGTCTGGAGGCTGCGGAGGGTTTAATTCTGCCTGACAAGACACAGTTGTGGCTTGCTCCTTCCTTCCTTCCTTCCTTCCTTCCTTCCTTCCTTCCTTCCTTCCTTCTTCCCTCCCTCTTTTTTCTTCCTTCCTTCCTTCCCTCCCTCCCTCTTTTCCTTCCTTCCTTCCCTCTCTCCCTCCTTTTCCTTCTCTCCCTCCCTCCTTTTCCTTCCTCCCTCCCTTCCTCCCTCCTTCCTTTTCCTTCCTTCCCTCCCCCTTTTCCTTCCTTCCTTCCCTCCTTTTCCTTCCTTCCTTCCCTCCCTCCTTTTTCTTCCTTCCTTCCTTCCCTTCCCTCTCCCTCTTTTCCTTCCTTCCCTCTCTCCCTCCTTTTCCCTCTCTCCCTCCCTCCTTTTCCTTCCTTCCTCCCTCCCTCCTTCCTTTTCCTTCCTTCCTTCCCTCCCCCTTTTCCTTCCTTCCTTCCTTCTTTCCTTCCTCCCTCCTTTTCCTTCCTTCCTTCCCTCCTTCCTTCCTTCCCTCTCCCTCACTCCCTCCCTCTTTTCTTTCCTACCTTCCCTCCCTCCCTCTTTTCTTTCTTTCCTTCCTTCCTTCCTTCCTTCCTTCCTTCCTTCCTTCCTTCCTTCCTTCCTTCCTTCCTTCCTTCCTTCCTTCTTGGAAACCTCAAAAGGAACCTCAAGCCCAGAAACATAGACCTATGAATTTTAAGAATGTGCATATTGACCAAAACTCACATTAAAAAGACAAATGCATTTTTTTGGGGGGGGGGGCGGAAAATTAATATTTCTAACCCAACCAACCTTCGAGGCTCTCAGTTCTCCTGAA